CCCCATCCCACTGCATCTCATGTTTTTAAATGAAAAATGTACTCTGTGTGATTGGCTTTCGGTCCTTTGTATTAAACTATACATACATACATGATGCTGTTTTGTTTATAGTTGTTTAAGCAACTTAATTATAATTGGTTTATAAACATTATTTTAAACATTATGCACTTTTTTCACAGATTGTAATTTTTTTATGCTTTGAATAAACATGCATTATTAATATTTTGCTCGATGTGGCCTCAGGAGAGAAGCCAAAAGCTTTTCTTCACCCTAACTGAAATTATGCATTTTAAATTAGAATATAATTCAAATTTTGATAATATTTAAGTAAAAAATTCGAATTTAGTTTTTCAGCCATTTTGACAGCCCTAGCAAACAGTGCAATAAAATGCATGGCAGTATCTATGAAAAACCATCATTACAATACAATCCTACATCGTATGACAGCCAGCATCTTAATTGTATACAACATTTAAAACGACCGTTTTGAACAGACGCAGACTTCTCCTTCCTCTGAACCTAGTCTTGAGTCATAAACTCTAATACATTTTGACAAGCGTGTAATAAGCCAGTTTTTCCTCCAGAACTTCCCATCAAACCCTGCCTGTTCAATCTGCAACTGCAATAAAGCAATCAGCTGCATCTGCTAAAGCAACACAGCCGGATTGCCGTGACCTATTTACAGCCGATTCCTGGATTTAAGAAAATAAAAGCACTATAATGTGCATGGTCACCATGTCATGCTGCAGTCAATGACGCTAACGCACATACAATATTATTATAAGGTAAACTGCATTACAATACACAGTGAGGAGCATCATGCTGACAAAGGATGCTCATGCATGACACTGTACAGTAGTCTGATGGGTATCTTCATATATTAAAAAACGGCATTGGATTAGATGCAACTATGTTATCATATTACATCTGCACATGCATGAGCACAGAAATTATTCACGACCCATACATAAACTTACAGCTGAAGCTACTGAATTTTTTTTTTTTTATTATTGCCCTTTCTTTCTTTCTTTCTTTTTGGATTGACTTTAAAATGGACATAACAAAAAATAAATAAAAAAACAACAAAACTCTACATTCAGAACCTTATGATATTTTACTTTAATTGCGAAACCTATATATGTTTTATTTTTTAAAACTACATTACAACAAGTTTTATATTCACAAGACAAAAATGACTAAAACAAAACCCTCATGTATTACCTTTTGTAAAACTTATTTCACAATGGACTATGAAACCCTTTCAAACATGAGAAAACAAAAAAAATTATGAAAATAATCAATTAAAGCTCTTTAAATTTATGTAACTTTATAAATATTGCATTTTTATTTGACTTATTTTCTTTATTTACTTTTATAGATTTGTTGCCTTTGCATTTTTGTTGTTGTTCCTATTCCTTATTTCACATATTCTGAACTGTACAACAATGCTTTATATTTGGCTAGTTCTTTTTTGCACAGTATTTAATTGTGATTAAATATAATAAATTAATTAATTAACTTATAGTTCCACTTATGAACTAACTGGAGTCGTTTTCCTGTTCTGAACCTTTCATTGAACTCTAAATCTAGGTTCATCAAGTTCAAAATGTTTAAATGATCAAATATCCGTAAAAACAAACAATTCTTTGACCATGTTCCTTTTCAAACAGGTGACAAAAGCGAAAGACTTTGCATCCGCTTCTGTGAGACTCCCTATAATTGAGCTGTCAAAAGTTTGACAGAATGGCACAGTTCAGGCAACGTGTACGACAAAAACTTGAATGAAACTCGAAAAAGTGAGTAAAAAGCATCGTAAGTGAATAAACTAACGGAAGAGTTCCATCATAATTAGCTGATTTGCTTGCGGCGGCAAATTACTTAAAGAAGCAAAACTAAGAACAAAAGAAAGAGTTTGCGACCCGATGCAAGTTTTCACATCCACGTGAATTTGAAAGTTGAGTTAAATGCATATATAAATAATTAATTAATTTCATGTAAACCCAAATGCAGCCGTAACGAAACTAGCCTAGCTCGCTTAGCAACGGGATTCCGCTCATTGTAACTAAGGCGGAAACAGCCGCTCACGCTAATGCTAATGCTAACCCCCGCGAGCCTGCTGCTAGTGTTAGCCTTAACAATAATACTCACCTCCAACTCGGTACATGTTGGCCGCCATTCTCTCACTCCCCTAAACAAACACAATAATCACGGTTTCTCTCGTTGTGTGGATAAAAATGCGTATCCAAAAGTGCTGCTGGTTCTTTATATCCTCGCGTGTACTGGCGTACTTCCCCCCGTTGCGAGACAAAGCCGGGACCCGGCACGGCGCTGCCGCTCTGGCGGGTAAAAGTTTAAAGTTTCCGCTACAATGTTTCTCCGGATGGTAAAAAAATCGCGTCTTTGTTTCGACGCTGCGATAAAACTCCCATTGAAGCCCCTTCCAGACATTCACACTTCACACGAGCCCTTGATAGCCAGCCTGTCTCTCTCTTTCGCTCTCTCACACTCCACTCTTCCTCCCATCCTCCGCTCCCTGCTTCATCCTCCTCTTCTTCACCTCCGCTCTGTTTCACGCGCACACACACATACGGGCGCGCGTGCACGCAACCCCTTCTCCAACGTCATCTTCGGAAGCTCATAACGTCACTTGGGATTCGACAATCTCCCGGGAAACAGAAACCTGACCTCTGGTAAATAATTACTATTAAAAAATCTAAAGACATTATATAAAGTATTTTTTTTTCTAAGGGGCAGCATGCGGTTATTATAGATTTATTTTGTGGCACCAAGTTAATGTGGAGAGGCTTATCCCACTTTAGAATCAAAATTGAATGTCATTGATTATTATTTATTATTAGAACGAATTTTGCATGTACATACATGGTTATGTATACATAAATACGGCATAAGGATATCAAACTCATTAATCGTTGAATGTCGTTTTTCTTTTCTCATGATTTATTGTAATTCATAGGTGTACATTATTTGTTATTCTGAAAACAACAAAATAAAAAAGAAACAGAAACTTGAGCTTTTAAAAATAAAAATAATTTCAATTAATTTTTTTTATAAAAACCAGAACCATGAGACTACTGTGCATTAAAAAAAGTGTAATCAGTTGTCAGACAAATAAATAAATAAATTTGTATACACCTTAAGACCTATTAAAGTTTCATTTAATTACTTTTAAACTAAAAATGAAATTTCTCATATTTTATGCAGGTATATATGATAGCCAATCGTGCAAACGATCAGAAATGTTCACTTGTGGACATAACGTAGAATCAGGTTAGGATAGTGAAAAGTGGTGCTATACTTCCCTCTATAGACTTACAGACAGCAACGCAATCCGTTATTAAAAAAAGTCTTGCTCCAATTGTCCTCTAGGTGGCGTTTCGTAATACTAAAACTGATTCACCTCAGGTACTGTATGGCATTTAAAGCACACACAGACAAAAACATTATTACTTTAAAATGTATTTATTTGATTAAAAATAACACAATTTCACATTGTTTAACAAGCTGTAAAAACTGACTTGATCAATAAAAGACAAGCCTTTTGGAAGTTTTTGGACAGAGGACATATTCCTGATAGCAAATAAAGCATTGATTATCCTGCTGCCCATAACACAATGCTTCACAGAGACATGATTTATGGTTAATAATGTAATGTCAGACAATTATGCATATAGTATTTAATGACCGGAAAAACAGTAGATGATTAAAATAAGCATATGAAAAGCTTTATGAAGTAAACAAGCACATGTAAACTTGAAATACACGGAGTAAAAGCATGATACATGTAAAAACTAGAGATTCATTTCATTGAATACATCCTTGTCTCGTGATGTGTTGAAATGTGTTGAAGTGTTGAATTTCACAATTGTCAAAATTCACAATTTTTTTCACAATTCACAAAAGTAAAGAAAAAAAATGTCTTTTTTTTTTTTTGCATTAAGAACATAAACATGTTTAAGACCACCACAATTTTTTAGACTTATTATTTTTCCTTTTGATTTTGGAATGCAAGAATACATTTCTTTAAAAAAAAAAAAAAGCAAATTTCAGACACAATATGTGACCCTGGACCACAAAACCGTAATTCGCTGGGGTATATTTGTAGCAATAGCCAAAAATACATTGTATGGGTCAAAATTATAGATTTTTCTTTTATGCCAAAAATCATTAGGATATTAAAGGGGTCATATGATGCGATTTCAAGTTTTCCTTTCTCTTTGGAGTGTTACAAGCTCTTGGTGCATAAAGAAGATCTGTAAAGTTGCAAAGACTAAAGTTGACCCAGACTGAGAGACCATTTAAAGGCTCAGGAAACCTTTGCAGGTGTTTTGAGGTAATTAGCTGATTAGGGTGTGACACCATGACTTTCCAATATTGAACTTATTTACGATATTCACATTTTCTGAGACACTGAATTTTGGGTTTTCATTATCTGTAAGCCATAATCATCAAAATTTCAAGAAATAAAGGCCTGAAATATTTCACTCTATCTGTAATGAATCTATATAATATATGGGTTTCACTTTCTGAAATGAGTGACAAAAAATATTGACCTTTTTCATGATATTCTAATTTTTTTAGATGTACCTGTATATATTTTTTGGCCATGTCAGTTCATGAAGAAATGTAGGTAGTGAACAGCTATGCATTATTTGCGACCTTTCAATGGTAAAACAACACTGTGACATGTTTCACAAAAGCTGGCATAACCTTCCAAATGCCTCATGTCACAGCAGATTGTGCAATGAGATATTTCCTCCTTGTTTCATTTCCTTGAATATCATGCCTGTTTCTTTCTTGGTATTCCTGGTGTATGTCTCTCTATGTTCCATTTACTGGAGAGCTAGAGGAAGAGCAGACAGAAGAGGAAGAAGCTAGATGTTCTTTGGAATGGTCTCCAGTCCCCGCCCCTTTAACTCGCCACTGGAGGATGCAGGTGTCTTTGCCGCCCATTGACAGAAGGTGACTGTCATTATGTGTGAAACGAACGTTAGTCACATGACTGCCATGGCCCTCGTACTTATAACTTGGAGCCTGACAGAGAATCCAGGAAATAAATGATTAATGTCTCGCAGTATAAACAAACACATTCTCTGACAAATTACCTACAGTAAATATGTGAATTATTAATCTGCATACAATACATACTACATCAGCTGGCCTGTTATATCAAACTTTAATGCATTGTTAAGCATACTGAGTCCAATGAGATTTATTGTTTAATTTTATTTCTATTCTAAAATGATAATTTCTTTGACTCTCAATAAATACATCAGGCAGCGACTGACCTTTGGTTTGGGACATGGATACTGGAACAAATGAACCTTACAGAAGTCATCAGCTACTGCCACCATACTCTCACTGTGTGATCGACACAAGGCATTGATGTCTGTCCCATCTGATCCCTCGAGCCACACACCTAGACAGCAATACAATTTAGAAAGACGGTAAACATATACACTTACATATGCTTTCAATGCACAGGACTTTGGGGACTCGCAACATTAGGGGAATACACTTAATGCATTTATGAATGAATAATAATAATAAATAATTAATTAATATTAATAAATATGATCTAACACATACAAACACTTTGATTTTCAAAAAACAAAACATTTAAAATTTTATTTTTAACTAATGTACATTTGGCGCTTGCCCATGCAAAACTTCCAAGTGGTCTTCTGTTTTTTTTTTTTTACATCAGCATTGGTTATTAAAGCAGGATAGAGTTGATTTTGGACTTTACTAAATTCAGAAGAGTGTATGGTGTGAATGTGCAAATAAAAAAAAATGAACAAAGCCGGCGTAAAGTGAGTCCACTCTTATTCTGGTTTACAGATATGCTCATTGTGCTGCTTCCTTAGCAAGAACCACTTATACCTAAAATCATTTAAAAAAAAAAGATTTTCTCTCACCCATGACATGGAATCCAAGCACACAGGTATAGGACGCCCACTCTCGATCTTTACTCTCAAACCGGTTCCTCAACAGCTTGCAGCCACTTGCGACATCCCCTTTTTCCACAAACATAAATGTTCAAATGCATTATCATTTATATTACTCATTGTCTTCTTGGAATATGTTTCTGTGTTATGAACCCAAGCGTGCAGCCTTACAGTATAGAATTTCATAATCTCCAGAGTTGGACATGATGTATTTTCCATCTTTGGACCAGTCGAGGTGAGTAATGAAACTGGAGTGCCCCTGTACATACAGGGAATGCATTTTATCTGCACAACTTATTGTGCTTTTTAACAGAAACAGACCGCTATAAAACATTACACACGACAAACCACCATAAAACAGTTTGACATCTTTTAGAGTACTTGACCCAAATGCTTTGCTTACTGTGCACTTTCCGAATCGTGTATAACGCCGGCCACCCTCTGTGACGTTGTAAATGTAGATGAAGTTGTCATGGGAACCAACTGCCAAAAAGCTGCCATCTGTGTTTTGGTAAGCAGTAAAATATAAGTTATCGACTATAAACAGGCTTGCAAAACAATCTGCATGCAGTAAAAGCTGTCACATTGTGCCACAAACAAGCTATCAGTTATACATCTACTAATAAATGTAATAATGCTAATTTTCAGAAAAGGTTTAGTTCTGTTTTATACTGTGCCCTTTATTATTGTGATTTTGTTGACCTCTGACCTGGTGAGTATCTCATTACGGACAGCTGCTCATTGCCATCAGTCAGGTCTGACACCACTTCTTTGGTTTGCAGATCCAGTACAACCCATCTAAACAGGTAAGCAGTTAAAAACCATCATAAAGCCATTAAAAAAAGGGAACATTTCACTGTAAAAAGCTTACTATAAAACTGAAGTGGTAGTTGTTATCAGCTGTCACTGTTTTGTAAATGTTTTACCTTCCAGTACTCAGTCCAACAGAGACAACACCTCCATTTGGGCTGAAATCAGCACACAGGCCAGATTCCTAAAAGAGATAAAGATTCATGTTAAATTCATTGTCACTTTACAGAGTGTTTACGATAATACTGGTATACATTTTTGAAGGCGCACCAACATAAAAGTTTAAATAAATGAATATTAGTATTTCCAAGTATGTTTACAATTATGCACAATCAAATGATTTTCAGTGACATCAGTGGTGTAAACAAAAACTGTATACTACAAACACTGACATTCAAAAGTTTGGGGTCAGTATACATTTCTCTTTTTTTGAAAGAAATGAATACATTTATTTAGCAAAAATGCAAGAATTGATCAAACGTGATAAGGACATTTATAATGTTACAAAAGATTTCTATTTCAAATAAATGCAACTTTCTATTCATCAAAGAATCCTGAAAAAATGCATCATGGTTTTCAGCATTACTAGTGATAAGAAATGTTTCTTGAGCAGCAAATCAGCATATTAGAATGATTTCTGAAGGATCTGGAGTAATGATGCTGAAAATTCAGCTTTGCCACCACAGGAACAAATTACACTTAAAAATACTGAAAAATATACAGTTATTAATATTAGTTTTTAGGATTATTTATATGATTTTAGTTATGAATATATAAAAATA